TATATATATATTTGATGATTTGCTAGTGCATATATATAATTTGATGATTTGCTAGTGCAAATATATATATATATATGATTTGCTGTATATTCTGTATATTTCTGGATTTGATTTGCTAGTGCATATATATTTTTTTGGGGGGAGTATCTTTTTGAGACAGGGTCTCCCTGTAGCCCCAGCTGTCCTGGAACTTACTATGTAGACCAGGCTGGCCTTGAACTCACAGAGGTCCGCCTGCCTCTGCCTCCCAAGTGCTAGGATTAATGGCGTGCACCACCACACCCCGCTTATATTTTTTAAATATTTTATTATTTTTATTTTATGTGTGTGAGTGTTATGCCTGCATGTAGGTAAGTGCACCTGTGTCATGCAATGCCCATGGAGGTCAGAAGAGGCCATTGGATCCCCTGAAACTGGAGTTACGGACAGTTGTTACCTGCCATGTGGGTGCTAGGATTCGAACTCAGGTCTTCTGCAAGAACAGCCAGTGTTCTTGACTGCTGAGCCATCTCTCCAGCCCAACTAGTGTATATTTTAATGTTTAAATTAATAACTATTTTAGAGAATGTTGAAGATTATAGCAGAAAGGAGCAGAAAGTACAGAGAATTCCATTATATCCCCACACATGTGCATTTTGTACCACACCAGTACTTTTGTTAAAACTGATGACCTTCCATTGTTGTATCATCACCCAAAGTCCATCACTTACTTTTGGAATCATTCTTAAGTATTGTACTTTTTAATGGGCTTTGACAAAAGAATAAGGACAGATATCTACCATTGTGGTATCATACAGGATAGTCTCACTGCCCTAAAAATCCTCAATGTTCTGACTCTTCATCTTTCTCTCACCTTAACTTTTGGCAACACTGGTCTTCTTACTGTCTGCAGTTTTACCTTTTCCAGAATTTACCTGAAAAGATACAATATGTAGCCTTTCATATTGGCCTATTCTCACTTAGTAATATGTATTTAAGATTCTTTCATGTCTTTCTGTGGCTTCATAGCTCATTTCATATCTCTTTTAGTTATCGAATAATACTCCATTGTCTGGATACATTCTAGGTTGCTTCTAGTTTTTTGGTAATTATTAATAAAGCTCCCATAAAACTATGTGTACAGATTTTTGTTTGGATACATGTTTTCAGTTTATCTGGTAAAAGCCAAGAATCTATGATTGCTGCATCATATGTTAAGAATGTTTTTAATTCTTAAGAAACTGTTCATTTGTCTTCCATGGTAGCTGCATTAGTTTGCGTTTCTATCAACAATGGATGAGCATTCTTGTTACTTCACATCTTTGTAGCATTTGGTATTGTCAATGTTTGATTTTAGGTTGTTCTCCTAGGTATACAGTGGTATCTTTTTAACTTGTAATTTTTTAATCATACATGACATTGATCATCTTTCTCTATGCTCATTTTCCATATATATGTCTACTTTGATGGGGTATTTGCCTAAATTTGTTGTAATTTTTTTAATTGGGTGGTTTGATTTTTTTTTAATTGTTAAATTTCAGCAGTTCCTAAAGTTCATGGAAGGCTAAGAATTGTTCACATTCTTACCAATCCAAACAGACTGAGAATAGGACAGCCTCTCTTGCCCCAAGATGGTCTCTCTGTTTGATGTCAGATACTGTGAATGGAGTAGCAGGAGAGATTCAGAACTAAAGATGATTATAAGACATTTAAAACTTTGTAAATAGTGGCTAGAACTATAAAGTAAATAGATGTTTTTAGAAAATATTTTAAACAATCTGTTGTTTTTTAAAAAATTAGTATCTCACCAGGTCTGGTAGCACACACTCTTAATCCCAGCACTTGGGAGGCAGAGGCAGGCAGATCTCTGTATTTGCAAGTTCCAAGCCAGCTGGGGTTACAGGGAGACCCTGTCTCAAAAAGACAAAAACAAAACAAAACAAACAAACAAACAAACAAAAAACAAAATGAGAATTTCAGTATCACCAAAACCCCCTTTTTTTTATTATTATTATTATTATTTTTTTATTTGGAGAGGATCTCTTTGCAGCCCCAGGTGGCCTGGGAACTTGCTATGAATATGAATTCTGGACCTCTGCAAAAGTAGCAAGCACTTTAACCACTGAGCCATCTCTCTTACCCTAGGCTGCTTTATTTTTTTCCAAAAAAGGGAAAAAGCATATATCCTAGAAATTATAAGCAAGTAAATTTATTACTGATTTTTGGCCAATTTCCAGGAATAAATTTCATAAAATTGTGAACATTATTAAAGAATGCTGAAATGGAAAAATGTAAATCTTTCTACCTGGAACATATTATATCTAGTTAACACCATATCTTTAAATAGAATTATCAGATTCAATGAGTTAGAGAAATAGTATTTTTTAGAGTGTATCACAATTTAGGCTATGTTTTGTTTTCTTTTCCTTTTCTTTTTTTCTTTTTTTTTTTTTTTTTTTTTTTTTTTTTTTTTTTGGTCTTTTTGAGACAGAGTCTCTCTGTAGCCCCAGCTGGCCTGGAACTCACTATGTAGACCAGGCTGGCCTGGAACTCACAGAGATCTGCCTCTCTGTGCCACCCGAGTTCTGGGATTAAAGACATGCACCACCATGCCCGGCTATTAGGCTGTAGTTTTTAATATGATATTACTGGTAAAGTACTTAAAATTAGGGTAAGCAGGCATCTGAGAAGCCCAGGCATTCTTATCTAGCAGTAGCTGTACTTGTAGGAGTTACAGTCACAGTCGCCTGAAACCTAAATCCACCATTCGATTAGAGATTCAGTGTCACCCTTTAGAGAGTCTTCACAGCATTACAGTGGGGTTGTCTGTACAAAACCCCAACAGTTCCGTTCCTGATCCAAGGTTTAGAAAGTAAGTTTCTCCGCTCATAGATTATTCAAAGCTTTGATAGATGGTGCCATAGAAGGCAATAAAATAAGTGTCCCTAAAACATTCCCTAGTTAATATAGTGTATTTCTGTCCTTCTTTCCCCTAACATACTTAAATACTTTGTATATAATATAAATTCATAATTTAGGCTACTCCAGGAAATAGAAAAGACATTTTATTCATATATGAATCATATGCACTCCTTTTTATATAAACACAATACCCTTAATGGTACAGATTTAGTAACAGAACCTGAAAATTAGAAAAGTCTCTACATAAATTATATCTTATTTGCTCCAGGAATATGAAGCACGAACAGGGAGAACCTGTAAAGTACCACCTCAGTCTTCAAGACGTAAGAATTTTGAGTTTGAGCCACTTTCTACCACTGCACTGATTCTTGAAGACCGACCATCGTAAGTATTTAATCATCATTAGGAGTACTATTTATATTTTAAATTTAGATTTAATTTTTTCACTCTTCCACTAAAATAGGAATTAGATATAGGAAAGGATTTATCTTGTTTTGTTTTTGAGACAGTGTCTTATTTATCCCAAGCTGACCTCAAACTCACTTTGCTGCTCTTGCCTCCAGCTCTCAGTGTTGGAATTATAAGCATGTGCCACCATACCCAGTTTATGCGGTACCTAGAATTGAACCCCAGGCTTTGTGCATATGAGGCAAGCCCTCTGCCAAATAAGCTACACCCCCAGCGTGGGGCTTGCTAAAAAATTAAATCCTAGCCCTGTATCCTAAAACTAACAGGGACGTACATATTGTTGAGGTCTTTCTATATTTTATGGAAGCTTCTGTGCATCAATGTAGAAAAAGAAATCTTGATTCTTGTTCAGGAATGGTGGTATATACCTGTAGTCCCTGCTGAGGGGCTGAGGCTGAAGTAGGACATCACTTGAAACTACAAATTTGAGACCAAACTGGGAAATAAATTATACATAATATGTATAATCTCAAGATTAGAGTCTTAAAACTCTACCACCACTGACAGCAACAACAGCGACTTGGTTGTCTATTTCTATTTCATCACTCCGCTTCTTATATTAATATGCTAGGGCATTTATTTTTCCTTTCTTGATGTTTAATGTGCACTTAAGATGTAAAAGTCCTTGTCTTTTGTACAATATAACTGCTGAATGTCAACCAGCTCATTTACTGCTATTAGAAAATCTATTCTTAGGGATTGGAGTATACCTTAGGGGTAGAATATGTACATATGCAAGACCCAGCTTCAATCCCTAGGAAGAATCTGTTCTTTAATACCCAGCAGAACATTTTAAGTTATTTTCTTCTCAGCTCTTGCTTCTTTCTGTAGTTGCCACAATGCTGCTCTGGTTCAGAATAATGTCTGGTTTCTGTAGAAGCAAGGCCACTTGTCCCTTACTTTCTTTTCCCTCCTACCTAGGCTTCTGATTTTAATTTTCTTCTTTCATTATTTCTACCATCTTGTTACTTTCCTGGTCTGGACCTGGCTTGTTGAATATAAAGAATCCAGAGCTAGGGGTTGGAGAGATGGTGACTTAGCAGTTAAGAGCACTGGCTGCTCTTGCAGAGGACCAGGGTTCAATTTCCAACACCCACTTGCTAATCCAAAGCTAAATAGAATAAAGCAATCCAAAGCTAAATAGATAGAAGTTGAATGTTTTGTATATATTGTATGAGAAGAAGGATTGGGCTTATATATATATATATATTTTCTTTTGGTCTTTTTGAGACAGGGTCTTCCTGTAGCCTCAGCTGTCCTGGAACTCACTACGTAGACCAGGCTGGCCTTGAACTCACAGAGATCTGCCTGCCTCTGCCTCCACCACACCCTGCTTGGCCTTATATTTTTTAATAGTTATATTCCTTCAGACAAAAAATTTGTGGTCTTGATACCTGCATGTGTCATGCAATGCCTGCGGAGGTCAGAAGAGGCTGTCGGGTCCCCGGGGACTGGAGTTACAGACAGTTGTTAGCTGCCATGTGGGTGCTGGGATTCGAACCCAGGTCTTCTGCAAGAACAGCCCCTTGATACAACTTTTTAATTTGATAAATTTGGGTATGAGCCAGGTGCATGCTTTTAAGCCCAGCACTTTGGAGGGAGATGCAGGTAAATCTCTGGGAGTTCAAGACCAGCCTGGTCTATATCAGCAAGTTCCAGTCCAAGTTCCATGGCTTTATAGTGAGTATCTTTAAAAAAAAAAAAAAAAAAAAAAGGGTATGGAAGCTACCTGCCTGAGACATCTATCTTCCATTGATCACCAGAGTTGATTTGGCTGATCTGACTGGCTGAGTGATTCCTTTCTCCGTCACTGCTCCATATGCTTAATCTCTTCTTGGTTTAGTTTTGGTGGTTCCCATGCCTTTAGATATCCATCCATTTCTTTTACGTTTTCAAATTTAGTAGCATATAGGTTTTTAAAGTTTTCCCTTATGATGATCTGTATCTTTTTGGTCTCTGTTGTGATGTTTCCCGTTTCATCTCTGATTTTGTTGATTTGGAGGTGCTCTTTCTTTCTTTTGGTTAACTGGGCTAGCGGTCTGTCAATCTTGTTTATCTTTTCAAAGAAGACTTTTAGAAGTTGACAATCACGTGGTCTTACCAGTAGAACTACCAATTCGAATACTAATCTCTTCTTTTG